GACGAAACCGGCACCACCATCACGCTCTCCAGCCCCAGCTGCGCCTTGATCAGCTCCAAGTTCTCCTCAAACACCCACCGCTCGTCGAATGGCAGCCGCAGCTCCAGTGCCTGGGGCCCAACCGACAGCGTCTCGTCCTTCTTAAACTTGACGAACGGCATGCACTTCTTCTGGATCTGTTTGAAGTCCCCGGACTGTCCCACCGAGCTCTCGCGCAGCCGGGACAAGATCTCCACGTCCGAAGTGAAAGTCTTGCTGCCGCTGTCATAGCACGACTGGAGAATCTTCAGGGACTCCTCCTTCCAGCCTTCGTACTTCTCGGCTACGTAGATCAAGCCCGCCAGTGGAGCCGCCGGAGGCACTGCTGCCTGTCCCTTCTTGGCCTTCTTCGAGGCGGCCAGGTGCTTTTGCAAGGCCTTCCGGAAGTCGGCAAGGATGGATTGGAAAAACTTGTTGGCTCTCTGGAGGGTCAAGTCGGGAGTTCCTGAGGCTGGCCAGCCTGCCGTCACTGCAAATCCTTCCTGGTGAAAGATCTCCGATCGGACGTATTCGGCGTAGTGCGGACAAATTGGAGTCAGTAGCCGCGTCTGGACGTCTGCAAACCTGAAGATCAAGTCCCTGTTCATGCCCAAGGAGGAGCACGCCAGCCGGTACTCGTCCCTGGCGATCTGGAGATCGTAGAAACCCGACTTGAGCGCCTCACGGAACATCAGAGCCTTGTAGTTCCTCTCCGTCTGGTTGATAGCAATGTTGATCTCGTTCTCGAATACGCGGTCTGCGAATGTAGTGGGGGATCCCTTCCTCAGATCCTTTTCAGCAGCAATGACCTCGTCGCTCATCCAGGCCATCTCCTTGGTCAGGCGCAGGATGGCCGAGTTTGCTGTCAGCTTGACGAAGTTTGCATCGTCGACCGAGTCTCCAGCGTCCGCCAGGCCAAACCTCGTTGCATCTGCCGAGAAGTCACTTACAGCGTCCCGAATGGTGAGGAAGTTCCCTGTCGATTTGGCCATCTTCTCCCCGTTGAGCAGCAGGAAACCATTGCACCGGAACGAACGAGGCCACCTCTCCTCCGGGAACATGGCGGTGTGATTGTAGATGCTAAAAGTCAGGTGGTTCTGGATGAGATCCTTCCCAGAGACGCGCAAGTCGAACGGATACCAGTAATCAAACTCCTTCTTCATCCTCTTCAGAGTTTCAACCGGAATCTCGCTCTCTGGAAGAGGTCCCATGCCAAATACGAAGTCCCAGACATTCCTCGTCATCTGATTGGGCTTCACAGCATGATCACCTTTGCCATACAAGTCCCCCTCCTGTAAGATATGTGCCAGCGTGTAGTACGCCATGTAGATGGTGGAATCCGACAGCGACTCGATCAAAAAGTCCTGGTCCCAAGGAAACTTTGTACCCAGCCCGAAAGAACGCGAGCAGGCCCATTGGTTCAGCCATCCAAGAGCGTGCTCGAACAAGCGCCTCGTTTCGTCGCTGTAGAGCTCCATCTGCGTCAGGCATTTTTCCGCCTGTGACTTCCATTCCTCCTCGGCATACTGTAAGTACCACTGGTCCGTCAAGGCCACCACACATTCGTCTCCTGACCTCGATATCACTTTCTTTTCGGGCTCGCTATAGATAACGGCTTGGCCTGATTCCACCAGCAGCTTCTTGATCAGCGGCTTCGCCTCCTGGACTTTCATTCTGGCATAGTCACCGACCAGCATCTTCCCGTCTGTGAACCCCTTCAAGTAAGTCATCTTCTTCGCAGCTTCCAGATCATCCCGGTTGTTCTGGCTCTTGATCTTCATGCTGATGCAGACCGCTTCCGCCGACTTGTCCCCGAATTCCGGAACGTTGATGATCGGAAGGACTTCGAAAGGTAGCACCCACTCGTCTTGGACGTTAAACTTCGCCCGCAGCGCAGGCTTCGACTTCAAATCCGAGAGTGCCATGTAGTCGTCGGGAGAGTCGCTTGGCACACTTGTCACGACGCCAGTACCTTTGTCCGTCTTGATATTCAGCATCGGCAGCACGTAAACCACCGGATTCTTTGCAAGCGGAGAAACTACCGTCAAACCAATCAAGTCCTGTCCTTTAAGTTCCACCAGGCACGTTGGTTGCTGCGGGACCCGTGACAAGTTCTGATAAGCCATGTTTAAGGCAGCCCGAGCCGTCACCACGAAAACTTCCGTCGCACTGACTTCATACGCACCGTAATCACCGTCTGCCAGAACCCATGCATTCGTCTGACCGTACATGGTCTCCGGCCTCAAGGTGGCAGCTGCCAAGAAAACCTTCTTCCCTTCCAAAGGCTTGAGTTTCCCCGTGAAAGGGGGCTGGACCTCCATTTTGATAAGTACGTACTCTTGAGGAGCCACACCCTCGCCGGAAGCTCTATCGTGGTCGGCACAAGGCTGCCTGTCCAGAGGAGAATAGATGGCATACCTCAAATCCTTGCCCACCTTCTTCTTCTCACGCAAGTGCTCAAACTGCCACCTTACGAAGGAGTCGTAGTAAGGATTCGCCTCTGTGGTGATGAAAGAGCGTCTCCAGTCACAGCTTAGCCCAAAGAATTTCAAGTCGTTCTTGGCGATGGGCGGAAAGTACTCCAGCCAGTAGAGTGGATCCCGAAACTTGGCAATCTCATCGTCTTCCAGACCCAAAGACCTCATGATCGTCCACTGATACTTGGAAGCACCGGACTTTGCCACAGCCTTGCTTTTCTTGGCCTTGAATTTCACCTCCACTGGAACCTCTTCTTTGTTCGCAACTGGAGCTGGAGCTTCGTCCGTCACCTCGGTAGGAAACACTGGAGGACACCCAAACTCTTCGCTCTCGCGGACCAGCTTATCGGCACAAGCCTTGATCGGCATCCCTGTGCAGTGAAATCCCATTGGCAGCAGCACCTTCGTGCCACAAAGCCTCTGGAACGCCGCTAGCTTGGAGAGCGAGAACGCGTGGCCCAAGTGAAGGACCCCATTCATGTACGGGTATGGAAAATTCCCGAAATATTTCTCACCGGGCTTGGGCGGCTCGTCGCTCGCATCGACCTCAAAGATCTTGGCGTCCTCCCATCGCTTCTGGATAATCTTCTCGATCCCCAGCAGCTTGTCACGCCGCTCGGTGCTCATCTTCTTCTCGGCGCCATCGCTGGCCATCCTGGATGGACACAGAAAATGCGACTTAAACCACGGAGGATCTCCTGGCGAGCAAAGAAAACTTACGTCGCGATGCAGCGAAGGATCCGACGTAGAGAGCCTCCCGTGTTGCCGCTATAGCAGCGCCGCCGCCGCCGCCGCAGCGCAGTGAAGCTCTCGTTCTCGTAAACCCTAATTCTCACTGGCAATGCACCTAAGGTGGTCAGGGGTTCGATACCCATAACCACTGGCATTCTATCCTACTAGCCAAAGTCTCTCTGTGGAGATAGAGTCGTCCATAGCCATTGAGCTTGATTAAGCAAACCTAGATGTGAAGCAAAGATGGTATTGCTGTGCATGACACAGCCTTGACGCTGACTGTTCAAGAGGCCGTGGGGCTTCATGATCTTCTAGCCGGTGTGCAGCAGCAGCAAGAAGAACCTACAGTGAGTTATTCTGACAATCAACCTGCATGCGCGATTCACCACTCTATTCGTGAGCAGATCACAGCAGGAACTTTGGCCTGCACGATGCTTGAAGAAAGAATGCCAGCATGCCACATACTGTAGAGGGCTTGGAGTTAATGTTCCAGTAAGTGTAACAATGGACCAGGGAAACAAAGTCTGGCGTCCTTCCATCGCTTCTGGATAATCTTCTCGACCCCCAGCAGCTTATCACGCCGCTCGGTGCTCATCTTCTTCTCGGCGCCATCCTGGATCGATGAACAGAGAGACTTAAACCACGGAGGATGTCTCGGAGACCAAGAAAACTTACGTCGCGATGCACCGAAGGATCCCAGCATAACCAATACCAGAGATAGAGTCATCCATAGCTATTGACGAAGTAATAGCAATTGAGTCATTCAGCCACGTCTGCCGCCGGTTGCCATGTCATTAAAATTCTTGGCGCCTGTTGCGATTCAAAATTCAAAACTTCACAAAACCTAGATGTGAAGCAAAGCGGCGATGGTAGGCAGCTATGGCTATGGCAATGGAAATGGCGGCTATGGCGACTATAGCGGTAACAGATCGCACGGGCAGCGCTATGGAGCGGCAATGAACTCCCCATTTTCTTGGAACAACGCTGATGATGTCCCAATGACGACCACACCCAGATCGAGTGTAGGAGCTGCGCCATGGATTCAGCAACAGCAGCATCCAAGTATCAATCGCGGGAACTTTTTCTCCTCGCGCAGACAGGTTGTGAAGCCGGCCGGAGTTGTCCTTGAGCAGCAGCATATGGCGAGACAGCCACTCGGTCTCTACAACTCGGGGAATCAGCAGGACTGGCCACCATCGTGCAGCCCGCCTGGATTGATCGATCACGCGAGAGCACTCAGCCCAGGTAAGATAATCAACCATCCAAAAACCAAAAACTTACTTCATGGATGGATGCAAGCAGCTTAGAACTTGCTGATCATTGGAGCTCACAGATGATCAGATGCAGATCCAGGAGCTCAACGGGAGCGGTGCTACCTTGTACTACTGCCCAACGCTTGATCCTGAGACAGGATTCACCATCCTGTCCATCTCGGCCATGAGCTTCTACAGGAACAAGAGCCACGAGGAAATCCGATGGGATTGCTACTGCCGCGGTGATCCCATGCTTGCCGATCCGTTATCGCTTCCCACACCATCGCCAAGCACCAAAGGCATCGCAGGCGCTTTGCCTCCTGGTACTTACTACCTCGTTCCGGCGTCACAATGGTCACCACCACCATCGTTACCGCTCACCACGGTAAGCTTTACATAGTTATCTTTCCAGATACTCACTTCTGGCTCGCAGCCTTTGGTCTTTTGTGCTGCTCCTCCTCCTCCGGCGACGGTAATTGACGAGCGTAGTTTACACGACCATTCACGAAGCCATCCCCAGCAGCAGCAGCAGCAACCGTAAGTGAAGCTTTAGATCTGATCGCAAGCAAACAATATACTCACCTCTAAAACCCATGCTTACGAAACTTAAAAGCGTGAATATGTGCAGGCCAAGTCTGAGCTCTTTCACCTTCAAATCCAGCCATCCCTTTGGAAAGCTCCCTCACGCCCAGCAGATATCTTTCAAGAGCAGCAACACTTTTCCGCCGACGAGCGTTGGCACCAGATCCGGCTCCCCTCTGCTGGTTCTACCATCGAGACCAGTTCTACGCAGCCGCTTCCAGACGAGCAGATCAAAAGCACGCACCCCACCTCCAGTAATCTGGGACGAGCCGCCGCCTCCAGAAATTTTCCTGCGAGCAACCAAGAACCCAAGATCGCTCTTCATCCCGCCGCAAGCAAACGAGCACGAAACTCCGGTGGAACCATCGTCACCACCGTTAAGTATGCCCGAGAGCAGTGAACCGGGTCCGAGCAACCAAGTAGCGGAACCAGAAGCAGAGCCATTCGTGCCAACACCCAAGGTGACGGGCTCAGACTACTACATCCAGCCCAGCCCGGAGGAGATCCGAGAGCGCCACCTTTCCACGCCGGGAGGATACTGCCACCGAGTTGACAACTTTGTAGTCGGGCGCAAGCAGCACGGGGAGATCCGCTTCATCGGCCGGACAGATGTGCGAGAGCTGGACGTGTGCGACGCTGTCCAGTTCGACAAGAACCAGGTGATTGTCTACATGGACGAGAGCAAAAAGCCTGGCGTGGGTGACGGGCTCAATAAACCAGCTGAAGTTACTCTGTTTAACATCCACTGGAACGACAATCTAGACGGCCAAGAACAGCAAGAGCAGCAGCAGCAGCAGTTCGAGATGATGCTCAGGGATGAATCCGAGAGGCAAGGCTCCCACTTCATTTCTTACGACGCAGCGTCGGGGGAATGGAAGTTCCTGGTTGATCACTTCAGCACATTCGGACTGCAATGCAAAACGTTGGCTACATAGATTCATCGAGGACAACAAAAATTAGGAGCGAAACCTGGAAGTCACACTGGCTTCAGCGCAGCGATTTCTTCGGCAAGATTGTGAGCCTTCTTCTCGATGCCTTCTCCCAACGTAAAGCGTTCAAACCTCCGGACGCGGATGTTCTCGCCCAAGCTCACCGTCTTGGCTTGCAGCACATCTTTGACGAGCATGGTGTCGTCCTTGAGATACGGTTGCTCAAGCAGGGCTCTCTCCGCCAGCAGCTTGCTCAGGCGCCCCTCGACAATCTTGGCACGAATCTGCTCGGGCTTGTTCTGCAAGTCGTCCCTTTGCATCTCAATCTCGCGTTCCTTGTCCTTGATGTCAGCTGATATGTCGTCCACAGACACGTACTCCACCTGCGGGCAAGCGACCAGTTGCATCGCCAGATCGTCGGCCAGCTCCTTAAACACTGTGTTCCTCGCCACAAAGTCCGTCTCACTGTTGACCTCCACCAGCACGCCGATACGTGACGCATGAATGTAGCTCACCACCATCCCTTCTGCCGCTATTCTCCCAGCCTTCTTCTCCGCACTTGCCAGTCCCTTCTTTCTCAGGTAGTCCTTCGCCTGTTCAAAGTCGCCTTTGCATGCTACCAGAGCTTTCTTGCAGTCCATCATGCCAGTTCCTGTTTCTTCCCGTAGTTGCTTCACCAAAGAAGCCGAGATGGCGATGGTTTGAGCATCCTTGTCCGTCTCGGAGCTGCCGCTGCTATCGCTGGTGCTTTCCGTGGCCGGTGCTTCGACGACCTTCTGTGCCTGTGCTTCGGCTTGAGCAGCGACTTCAGCTGCAATATCGTAGCTGCGTTTCTCAAGGCCTTCTCCAACAATGTATCTTGCAAACCGCCTCACTTGGATGTTTTCACCCACGGCTGCAATTGTCTGCCTAACCAGATCCTTGACGAGAAGACTGTCATTCTTGATGAACGTTTTCTCAAGCAGCGCTAGCTCCGCGAGCCTCTTCGCAACTCGTCCCTCCACAATCTTGGCACGTACAGCCTCGGGCTTGCTCTGTATGTCTTCCCTTTGCATCTCAATCTCGAACTCCTTGCTCTTCACCTCGGCCGGAATATCGTCCACAGACACGTATTCAACCTGTTGAGATGCAGCCAGCTGCATTCCCAAGTCCTCCACCAGCTGCGTGAAGAGCTCGCCCCTAGACACAAAATCTGTCTCGCAGTTGACTTCTAGCAGGACACCAATCCGACCGTCATGAATGTAGCTCCTGATTGCTCCCTCGGCGGCGATCCTGCTAGCCTTTTTATCCGCACCAGCCAGCCCCTTTTTCCTCAGATACTCGATGGCCAGCTCAAAATCTCCGTTTGTTTCCACCAGAGCCTTTTTGCAGTCCATCATGCCTGCTCCTGACTGCTGCCTGAGAGACTTCACCAATGCCGCGGAAATCACTATGCCGACAGACTCTGCTTCCGTGGCCAGCATCTCTTCCTTCGTCGTACTTTCTTCCTTTGTCTCCTCCACATTCTCTTTCACTTCGGCAATCGCTTCTTTTGCCTTTTCATCGTCGGCAGATTTATCATCCTCCAGCGCTTTTTCCGTCTTTGTCTCCGAAACTTCACCTTCTTCCTCTTTCACGTCCTCTTTCTGCTGAGGTTCCTTGTCTTGGACAGCTGCACTTGTCACCTCTGCTGGCTCTTCCTTGTTCTCAACAAGTTCATTTTCAACCTCTGCTATCGGCACCTCCTCGTCCCCAGGCTTTTCCACGTTTTCGACGGCTTCCTGTGGCTCTTTTTCCACACGCTTATCTTCCACGTCTGGTACAGCAGCAGCAGCAACCACATCCTTTGGTTCCGATAGCTCCTCCTCCTCTTCCTTTGGCAACTCCTCTCGAACTGCACTTACTGTTTCCGTAGCCTCTTCTTCCACGGAAGGTTCCTTTTCTTGTGAGGCAGGGGCCTCCTCTTTCACAATTTCGGCCTCGTCAGCCGTCGATACCGGGTCTTCTGGTGCTTCAGCGTTCACATGTGCCTCTTCCGCCTTCTTTTTCTTGCTCTTCTTGTCGGCTGCCTCCACAACTGGAAGCTTCCCCGACTCCTCTAAATACTTCCTGATGGCAGCATTTTTTCGGAAAGCAAGCTCAAATGCGTTGGTGGCGGTCATGCTTCCATTAAACTCCTCGTTCACCTTCTTCAGGTCCAGCTCTTCCTTCATGGTCAGATTGATTCTTCCCTCGATGATGCGGAGCACCTTCACCTTCACTTCCTGTCCCACTTTAACGAGGGTCTCAATGGGAACATTCTCCCCGGCCACGCTGATCTCATTCGCATGCATGAAGCCTTCTTCGCCTCCAGGGAGTTCCACAAAACAGCCTCTTCTTGTCAAGTTCTTGACAACACCTGTCGCAGCCTGTCCCTTTTGGTAGTTTGACGTCTTCGGCTTGTCAGTCGCTGGTCGTCGGTTTTGGCCTGCTGCCCCTGGAGCACCCCTTCCGGCAATCTTTCCACGGAAGGCCTCTCGACCGCCTGTGGCCGGAGCACCAGAAGAGGGTGCTCTTGTTGGTTCTGGCTTGGGAGTGGGATCGTACAGCTTGAGCTTCACGCGTCTATTCTGCAAGTCCGCCTCGAGTATCTGAACTTGCACCTCCTGCCCGACCTGTACAACGTCCTCCACAGCCTTGACGAATCCCTCACCCAGCTTCGAAATGTGGAGCAAGCCGTCTACTCTAGCACCGAGATCCACGAAAGCACCAAACGTCATGATGGACTTGATTCGTCCAGTCAGGACCTTGTCCGCAACCAAGTCCTCGTCTTGCACGGCGAAGGTCCGTGTGACCCTTGAAGGCGTACCTGCCGGTGGTCTTCGTCTCTGAGTTCCAGCAGCAGTATCAGAAGCCCCAGCTTCGCTCTTTTCAAGATTGGTGAGGAGCTCGTCGATGGTTGGCTCTTCCTTCTCTTCGGCGGTGGTTCCTGTCGTAGCCGAGGACGCACGCGTAGACGTGGTGGTGCTGCTGCTGCTAGAAGTGAAGAGAGGACCCCTGTGAGACCGCGGAAGTTCAGCTCTCCAAGTCCTCCAGGAGGGTGAAGGCGAGGGAGATAAGCCGGAAGCCATGCGCTTTCTGGGCCTCCATTCCCAGCTCAGTCCATGATGGAAGGATTGAAGTGTACCGGTGGTACATTGTTGGCACAGCAGAGCCGTGGTTGCGGCAGTCATCCTTGAAGTTGTTTTCGAGACGCAGTCATCCGAGGATACTCGGCAGCCTTGTCATTGCAGCGACGCCGGAGGCTTACCTCGATTCATGCCGCGCGAAGCCATGCCCACCGTCCACTTATTATCTGTTGGCCTCCAATCCAATGTGCTTTAAAATCCCTTCCTCATCATCCTGGGCAGTGTATTTACCGGTACTTAATCGCGACCTTAAGAAGACGTTCCCCTGCTGCACAGGGAGCGAGGGAAGGAGTGAGAACAACAGTGGAGAAGTTTGAAAGAAGAACACAAACCAGATCTGAGCTAGCCTCCCATGAAAGGCAGGAATCCTCTCTTGGGTCGAGTCTCCTCGATGAGCACCGCCTTCATGCTGTCCTTCTCCACCAGTCTCCAAGCCGCCTGTTCCAATGCCAGTCCGGCCAGAGTCGGAGGCTTCTTGAGCACTAGCGGGTACCCCCGGTTGGTGCTCTTGATCACCTCCGAGTCCTCTGGAACGACACCAAGCAGCGGCAAGCCCAGCATCTCCTGGACATCCAGCACCGACATCATGTCCTCCCCCTTGATCATGTCGCTCCTCACCCGGTTGACGATCATCTTGATGTCCTTGATATCGTCGCACTCCAACAGACCCGTGACGCGATCCGCGTCTCGCAGGCTGGTGATGTCCGGGGTGGTGACGAGCACGGCCTCGTTAGCCGGTGTGATGGCGGTGATGAAACCGGCGTCGATCCCCGCGGGGCAGTCGATGAGGATGAAGTCGGGGCATCCGTCGGGGCGCTGCTTGAGCGCGTCCACGAGCCACGTCAGTGCCTTGCCGCCGAATCCCATGGGCATCTTGTAGCGGGGCTTGTTGATGCACAGGAGCTCCAAGTTTGTCCATCGCTTGTCGCGGACCAGCGCTTGATCCAGCCGGCATTCGCCGTTGAGCACCTCCATTGCCGTGTAGTTGACGCGATTCTCCAGGCCCAGCAGCAGATCCAAGTTGCGCAGCCCCACGTCCGCGTCGATGGCAACCACGCTGAAGTCGAGCCGCGCCAAGCACATACCTAGATTCGCAGTCACCGTCGTCTTGCCCACGCCGCCTTTGCCCGATGTCACCACCACAACCCGGGGTCGGCTCCCAGCCAGCTCCGGCCGCCGATTCCACTGCAATACCGCGCGGATCTGCCCGCTGCTCCTCCTCGTCCTCCTCCTCTCCCTGCTGCTGCTGCTGCGCCCAAGCCCTAATCCCGTGGGAGCAGGGAGGGCGCCCGTCGCCACCACCACCATCTCCTCCTTAAACCCTAAACTTTTTGCCTGCTCTTTCATTTCATATGACCTCGCTTGAATTGCGTCGCATAAGGCGGGAAAGAAGAAAAATCGAAAGCGCGCGCGCGCTCTCAACGCGACCCTAGGGCATCGTCGTCCACGCTCTAGCATTCTCTCGCTCGCCATGGAAGCTCGCCCAGGTAAATCTCCTCCCTCCTCATAGATCTCATGGCGCATTACATTTTCTTCTTCCAGTGCAGCAGCAATCCACGGTTTGCTCCACCGAGGCGCCGCTCTACAACTTGAGCTGCTGCCCGCCCAAGAAGAGATTCCGGCCAGCGGACAGCAGCGCCGGCACCGTCAGGGAGCGCTTCTGCGGGATTCCATTGCTTCCTGCCAAGAAACGCGTGGTAGCCTTCCAGTTTGGGGAGGAGCAGCTCCTCACATCTCTCTTGCTCCACCAAGACGAATCGGACGCCAAGAACAACACAATGAAGCCCGTCCCAGAGGTTGAGCAAAACAACAGCAACAAGCGCGAGGAAGTGTTTGAAACGGATGCGCCAGATCCAGATCCAAGGATGGTCACAGCACAGCAGGAGAATGATCTCTCCTGGTCGTGCCGCTTCTGCCAAGCCAGTGGCGATTCAGAGGTAGCATTCTTTTTTTTTCCCTTTGATACATGACATAGAAGTTTCGGATAAACTTGGTGTGCTTTTAGGAGGCAGGGCCGCTCATGGAATATCGGAACCGGACCTTGATCCCAGCCACATCTTGCCATCAAGGAGAAGCTTGCCATGATCGCCCAACAGCCGTGCACGTCCACCTTCGTTGTGCCGAGTGGTACGTATCAGCAGCATCTGTCGTGCACGGATGATGATCCATTCTTGATCACGCAGGGCTCCCAACGTCTACTACACAGGCGATGGCGAAGGGGGAGACGAGGGCGGTGATCAGCAAATACGGAACGTCAAGTCGGAGATTGGGAGAGCCAGCAAGCTCAAGTGCCATGCCTGTGGCTCCAGAGGCGCCGCGCTGGGATGCTACTTGAGCAAGTGCCGCAAAAGCTTCCACTATGGCTGCGCTCGTCGAGCCCAAACCAAAGGCCGATGGGAGACGGTAATCTCTCTCCTCAGGCTCTTTCTTTCCCTGTGATTAATCCATCGCCATTCGCCACCAGGAAAGGTATTTGTTCCTGTGCGACGACCACGCGGCGTGGAGCTTTCCCGGGGAGACCGAAGGGAAATAAATGTGAAGCACGTTTTTGTGATTTAAACACGCGACAAATATTTAGGGTTGATACATATAGTTTTCTTTCTAGGGCGGAAGAATGGATGTGGAGGAGGAGGGCGATGCTGCGCCGGCGCCCGGCCCAGCCCCCGCGCCCACGCGCAAGCCCAAGCGCCCGCTCGACTTCGAGCACGCATTCCTGGATGCGTTGCCCTGTGCCGCCATGTAAGCTCCAGATTTCTTTCGCCTTTCGCGGCTCACCGCTTTGCGTCCAGGTACGAGAAGAGCTTCATGCACAGGGACGTCGTCACGCACGTCGCGGTGTCCGTCGCCGATTTCTTCATCACTGGTAGCTGTGACGGTAAGTGAGCAACGAAAGGGAATGAGCGACACTTATCCCGATCTCTGCCACAGGGCATCTCAAGTTTTGGAAGAAGAAAGGAACTGGAGTGGAGTTTGTGAAGCACTTTCGCTCCCATGTTGGCCCCATTGAAGGACTGGCTGTAAGTAAGCACTTGTGTCACTGTATCTTGCTTGTCTTGCCCTTCTTTCTCACTCTGTCTTTGGGTTCTCCAGGTGAGCGCAGACGGCCTTCTCTGTTGTACTATATCGAACGATCGCTCCGCGAAAATCTACGATGTTGTCAATTACGACATGATTTCAATGCTGCGGCTCTCTTTTGTTCCCGGGGCGGCTGAGTGGGTTGTCAAGCAAGGAAGCACCGACTCAAAGCTTGCCATTAGTGACAGAGCGACGCCTGCTGTTCACATTTTTGATGCTCGTTCTGGGAGCAACGACCCTCTGATTTCCAACGAGGTACGTACATACCAGTTGTCAAGTATGGGCTCTCATTCGCTTATGGGGCTTTGCAGGTGCATGGCTCCCCTGTCAAACTGATGAAGTTTATCCCGGCATTCGATACCGTAGTCTCGATCGACGACAAAGGAATGATTGAGTATTGGTTGACAAAAACCATGGAGTTCCCTTACAAAGTGTAAGTGTCATAAAAAGTGAAAACACAGGCTCGAGCGAGCTAACTGGTTTCGTTTGTTGCCTGCAGTGTGAATTTCAAGTATAAAACTGAAACTGATCTGTACACTCTAGCAAAATGTAAAACAACAGTGTCTGCCTTGGAGGTGAGTTTATCTTGTGGTTCATCACCCGGATGTAAAGATGACCTTTTCTCCTTTGCAGGTTAGTCAGGACGGGCTACAATTTGTGACCTCGTCACCAGATAGGCGCATCCGCGTGTTTAGATTTAAAACAGGTAAACTGAGGCGGACCTTTGATGAATCACTGGAGGTATATATGATTGAATCGGTTCCCAATTCTAGATGCTTCGTACTGACGTGGGAAACGTTTCCAGGTCGCACAAGATTTGCAGAGAAGTGACCAGCCACTGTGCCGGCTAGATGCTTTTGACTTCGGGCGCCGCATGGCCGTTGAGAAGGAAATTGAGAAAGCGGAGAACGTCCCACCCGCCAACGCAATCTTCGACGAGAGTGGCAACTTTTTGCTTTATGCAACACTCTTGGGAGTTAAGGTAAGTCACCCTCACTCCGCCATGTGATGCGCGTTTTACTTATTTGTTGAAGTTTATCCAAAGGTTGTCAATCTGTCCACCAACAAAGTGGCGAGAATCCTTGGTAAGGTGGAAAACACGGAAAGGTTTTTAAGAATTGCGCTGTACCAAGGGGGAAGCGGTGTCAAAAAGGTCAAGAAGATTGGTGCCAATGCTGTAGACCAGAAGGAGTCCGTGACAGATCCAACCCTCATCTGCTGCGCATTTAAAAAGCACCGTTTCTATATTTTCAGGTACGCAATGCTGTGCACTCGCTTTACGCTAAAGCCATTCTGTGAGTGATCTGTAGCCGGAGGGAGCCTGAAGAAGCAGAGGATGCATCCAAGGGCCGGGATGTCTTCAACGAGAAACCCCCGCCTGAGGAGTTGCTGGCAATATCGGACGTTGGCAAGGCTACCACTACTTCCTTGCCCCTGAACGTGGTATGTGTGTTATGTTCGGAATTGATGGCGAGGCCTGAATTGTTTTCTCCAGATGATGCATACGACCTTGGGAGACATCCACATACGTCTCTACCCCGAGGAATGCCCGAGGACCGTGGAGAACTTTACTACGCACTGTCGGAATGGTTATTACGACAACCTGATATTCCATCGGGTGATCAGAGGCTTTATGATCCAGACGGGCGACCCGCTGGGAGACGGCACAGGCGGGCAGTCAATTTGGGGGGGTGAATTCGAAGACGAGTTCCACAAGAGGTAGGCGAGCTTGCATCATTGTCGTGTTTCTTGTGTGCTCAAATAGCACCACGTTTGTGGCGTGCTTTGCCTTTTTTGTCCACCAGCCTTCGACATGATCGCCCGTTTACCGTGTCCATGGCGAATGCGGGGCTCAACACCAACGGGTCGCAGTTTTTTATTACGACAGTGGCGACACCGTGGCTGGACAACAAGCACACCGTGTTTGGCCGCGTCGTCAAAGGCATGGATGTCGTGCAGGTAAAGAAAGCAATTGCTACAACAACAACAACAGCAACAACAACAGTGTTGTTGTGTAGAGGGCTTCGCTCTCTCTCTCTCTCTCCTCGTGTTGGCATTGATTTGTTTTGTGAACGTAAAAAACAGGCCATCGAGAAGGTGAAGACGGACAAGAGCGACAAGCCATACCAGGACGTGAAAATTCTCAACGTGACGGTGCCCAAGGGATAAGCTTGGAGGCGTGGAGCGAGCAAGGAGGAAACAAAGGGCCAGGGAAAAAGGAAAAAAAAGGTGGGGTGGGGCCGCGACAACGTGTTTGAGCACGTGGTTTTCACGCCAATTTGAGGCAGCTGGGTAAATGGAAAATGTGGCCCTTTAAACCTACCTAAGCTCGCTGGACAGAGGGAGAGGGGCGCCATTATTTACATATGGAAGGCGTGCGCCGCGCGACCTCCACTCCTTTTGCAGCACGCGCTTGTGTTTTTGCTTCTCTCATCGCAACCAAGTCAGAAGAGCTCCCTCTTTGTGTTCCCCCCGTGCCCAGGAGAGAGAGGAGCTCCAGGCAGCGCAAGATTGATTGAGAGATTGTCCACTCTTCCGGGAGCTGCTAGGCCTAGATCTGGGGGATGTTGCGAGAGATTTGTGTGTTCTTCCTGTAGCAGCTCTAAGAGGGAGAGGGAGAGGGAGAGGGAGAGGGAGAGGGGGGATGGATTTCGATTTCTCGTCCTTTCTAGGGGGTCCTAGCCCCGACTTCAATCCGTTCCAGGAGGAGGTGGGCGGAGGGGGGGCCATCCAGAGCACGTTTGCGGACACGGCGCTGCAGGACAAGCTCACCTTGCTCGTCGACAACTCGTCCCTCTGCTGCTGGACGTATGCAATCTTCTGGCAGCTCTCCAGCGCCGACGGCCAGATGTAAGCTCTCTCTCTCTCTCTCCCCCGTAGCATCACCTAGCATCATCTGCCGTGGTTCTAAAAGGGCTCACTTCACTTCAGGATTCTGGGCTGGGGCGACGGCTACTTCTCCACCAACGAGAACAGTACCCAGCGGAACGAGGCCAAGCAGTTCGATGCCGACCAAATTCTCAGGCGCAAGGTCCTCCGCGAGCTCCACGACCTGTGCCATCCCGAGGAGGACCTCCGAGAGGTGGAGCATGTCACCGACCAGGAGTGGTTCTATCTCCTCTCCATGTCGTGGAATTTCCCCTGCGGTGAAGGGTACGTAGAAACACGCTTCTTGTCTTGTTCCAAGGCTGATAAGCTCCAGGAGAACTCGCAGCATTCCAGGGCGGGCGTTCCAGTTTGGGCAGCACATATGGATTTGCGACACTGTCAAGCCCATTAACTTCCAGTGTGCGCGACTGGAGCTTGCCAAGGTAACGTATTCTTTTTTCTGTGTTTTCATCACCTGTGCTCCGAGATTGCGTGCTGACTTCACTCCTCCCCTCTGTGCTTGTACCCAGAGCGCAGGAATTCAGGTAACCAAAAGTTGAACTGGCCATGTTGTATAGATCTCTCACGTACTCCACGCTGCAGACAATCGTCTGTGTTCCCACCCGAAACGGAGTTGTGGAGCTGGGATCCACCGAAATCGTAAGCTTTCGTGTTTTTCGCTTCTCTTTGTTGGAGATGATATATGTGGTGCCGCAGGTTAACGAGTGCTCGCGGACACTCCAAGACATAAGGAGATACTTTGAGGAGGAGCAGCAGCCAGGTACATTCCAGGTGGCGGATGTGCAGCAGCAGCCGCAGCAGCAGCCGCAGCAGCAACCGCAGCAACAGCATCATCATCACCAGGCTTCAGCATACGAGAGCATTCTCCTCTCTGGCCCCTTGTCCAGCTCCAGCAGCATCACCGTCAACTCGGGCATGGAGCGTGGCGCACACCTCAACCCGTCGCTCAAGGCGTCCTACCCGGACAAGCTTAGCTCCTCGGCCCTGGGCAGCAGCACCGGGATGGAGTACTTCTACTCGTCCGACCCTTACGACATGCCAAGCCTGGACAGCGACAAGGAGAGCGTGCCCGTCATCCTGCCCCCGTACTCATCCAAGTCGTACGACGACAAGCACTTTTTCCAGCTCGGGGCACCACCCAGCAACAAAGGTGGTGGGAGCATCAGGCCCGGCCACAGCAACAAGTTCCAGGCCTTTGTAGCGGAGAGTAGTGAGATTGTCACGTCCATGGACTCCAAGAGCCGCAGGGTGGCCGAGCAGCAGCAGCAGCAGCAAAAGCAAGCGGCAAGCATGACGTACTTGAGGGAGGCAGCCAGCAAGAGCTCGGGTCCCAAGCCAGGGGGCATGAAGCAGCAGCAGCAGCAGCAATCGGAGACGACGGTGGCAGCTCTGATGAATCCACCGCGCTCCAGCATCGAGACGGAGCAGGAGCTGGACTCGGAAGCGGAGGTGTCGTTTAGAGAAGCGGCAGACTGCAGCCTCAACGTGGTGCAAAAGCCTCCAAGGAAGCGTGGCCGGAAGCCTGCAAACGACCGCGAGGAGCCCTTGAATCACGTCCAGGCGGAGCGGCAACGGCGGGAGAAGCTCAACCAGCGCTTCTACGCGCTGCGCTCGGTGGTTCCAAACGTTTCCAAGGTAGGCAGATCTCTGCCAATTCTTTATGCGCTGAGCCTACAATGCTTCTTTTCTAGATGGACAAAGCATCGCTGCTGGAAGACGCCATCAAGTACATCAAGGAGCTGCGGGACAAGGTCCAGAACTTGGAAACACAGATGAAGGAGATGCAGCTCCACGCGTCGTCGGCGTCGTCTCGTCATGCTACTCATGCTGCCGCTGCTGCTACTGCTGCTGCTGCTGCTGCTGCTGCTACCAACACCAACGATGCGACGAGGCTCCTGGGAAAGCAAAGTAGCCTGGCCACCTCTCTCAGTGCCAGTGCCAGTGCCAGCGCCGGCGGCGATGTGCTGGACACGCAGTCGGAGGTGCGGTCGCGCTACAAGGAGCGGGAGCAGCAGCCGGATGTCTACGTGCACCTTGTGGGATCGGAGGCACTGGTGCGCGTCAAGTGCCCCAAGGACAGCTACCCCGTCGCCAACCTCCTCGTCACGCTGCAAGACGAGCTCCAGCTCCAGGTGGAGCACGCCAGCATCTCCAGCCTCGACCGCCACCACCTCCTCCACACCGTCATTGTCAAGGTACCAAAGCAAGCAAGCTCTCTCTCTCTCTCTCTCTCGCCCACTCTCGCATTCCATGCGCTTGCCTTACACAATATTTCGTGGTGATGCAGATGCGGGAACACGTGTCGCTGACCAAGGAGCAGCTGCACTCGACGGTGAGTCGGGCGTTTCATCTGGCCAAGAAAGATGGCGCTCCTGCGCCTGCTGCTGATCGGCCAAGCGACTGACTGACCGACTCGACGCGAGTGATTGTCTGTGTTTGAGCGGCAGCAGCACCTCCCCAACCCCACGCATGTAATTCTACACCGCCCGGCGCTCCACTCGGATGGCGCCCCTTTAAAATGGCTAACAAATCCAAAACAAAACCGAGTTATTTCCTGCGCTCTCGTCTGGGGTTCGAGACCCACCCAGGACGACGAGCAAGGGAAGAAGCTACAGCTACAGCAGCTATAGCTGCTACCTAGGGCCATGGAGGAGGAGCGCCACGACTCTATTGCTCTCGCACAGGTTTGCCGCCCCCCTTTCTTCTCTCTCTCTCTCTCTCGCACACACACACTCACAACGAACAACAGCAGCACGACATGGACAGGAGCGATCTCCCCAAGGTATGCGCTGCTCTGTGCTCTGCGTGTTTGATCTCGATGCTTTGTACCTTACTGGAAGGCTCTTGGAGAGGGCGATGGCGAGGAGGGGGCGACGACTGCTGAGCGCGATGGCGATCCCGTCTCTGTGAGTGCTCTCCTAGCTAGATCTTGTGCTGGTATTCATCGACCGTGTTGTGTGTGGGGCGGGGCAGGAGATCAACAAGTCGAGAGCCGAGCTGCTTGCTCGGGTCCAGAACCTCAAGAAGGTAGACATTGATTGCAGCGGGCTTGGCTCATTATGTGGGGGGGGGTGGCACTGGCAGGACTTGCAAGACTGGCGGGGGAAGCTGGATTCTCAGGTGAAGAACTACCGCGAGGTATTGTTTCTCTCATCCATGACGATCACCTCACGAATGAAATGCTCAGGAGCTTGGAGAGCTCCGCAGCACATTGAACTCGGAAGTGGAGCAGCTGAGGAGTGTAAGTATAGCATTTTCATCTTTTTATTTCTGTCGTTTTACGAAAAAGCTTGTGTGGTGGTTCAGGAGTTTCAGGACCTTCGGAATTCGCTGAATAAGCAACTCAACGTGCAAGACGAGGTTGGATTTCTTTCTTTCTTGTGCCTCCTCCTTCTCTCATTCGTTTGGCTTGGCCAGGGTGCACACAACGGCGGCAGTGCCAGCATTCCTCCTCCTCCGCCTGAATAGCTACAGTGTACTAGTATTTACTGTAGAAAATGTAGAAAACAAAAACAGAACAGGCATCCTACGTGGCCCAAGCGTTGCCGACCCGTGGTGTTTTAGGGCAAACCAATATTTTTCTTGTTGCATGAAATCATCTCGCGTGCGCGCGAGGTGACCGAAAAGATGGCGGGCGGGGAGAGGCTGTAGTAGTACCCAACTTGCTGCTGAAATAGATGTCTAATGCGCGGCTATGGCGGGCAGCAATGCAGGACCGGCTGGTCCGCACGTCGAGGGAGGCGGCGGCGGCGAGGCTGGAGCTGTCGTCGAGCCTGGCCGAAAGCAGCAGCCTCCACGACTCTCTGGACGACTGCGAGTGCTACGTGCCCCCGAGCCCCGTTTCGTTGCCCATCCACGGCGAGTGTGGCATTCCTCCCCTGGCCCCTCATGAGCGCGACAAGGTGACGCTCGTCCTCGACCTGGACGAGACGCTGGTGCACTCGTCCTTCGTGCCCATTCCCAGGTACGACTTCACCATTAGAGTAGACATCGACAACAAGCTCCAGACCGTCTACGTCGTCAAGCGGCCGGGCGTGGAGCAGTTCCTGAGCGCCATGGCCGACAAGTTCGAGGTGGTGCTCTTCACCGCCAGCCTGCAAAAGTACGCAGACCCGCTGGTGGACCGCCTCGACTACTACTCGGCCATCCGCCACCGCCTCTACAGAGAGTCGTGTAGGCTCTACGGCGGGGGCCTCGTCAAGGACCTGTCCATCTTGGGCCGGGACCTGCACAAGGTGATCATCGTGGACAACAGCCCCCACTCGTACGCACTGCAGCCGCAGAATGCCGTGCCCATCACCTCCTTTATTGACAACCCCAGGGACCGAGAGCTGCTTGAGCTCATACCTTACCTCTCCGTCCTCTCCGAGTTTGACAACGTCACTGCCGCGCTCAACAGCTGCAGATACGAGTCGCTCAAGCGCTACTAACCTCTACGCTACGCTACGGATCTCGATCCATCCATCGTTGGCTGGCGGATTACTATATGTAGCTCTATAAGCTCGGTTGCTCCTCTCTCGACTGCCTGCAACCACCATTCCTATCTTACCCAGTAGATGCCTATCGACGCGCGTAACTAGTGTTCCTATATATAAATAGCGGAAGAGCCGACCGAGGGCCATATTTTTCATATTCTAACTGTGGCTTGACAAACTTCATTGCAGAGTCGAGATGTTACTGCATTTCGTCAAAGTCATGAAGCTCAGTTGCCACTTCTTAAATGGTTGGTCATGTTACGCCTCCACTCGACTAATGTAGTCAAGCAGCTGCACAACACATCCGCGAGTTGCCAGTCACTTTTAACGTTACAACGCAGCAAAACAGCCATGCTTTTGGTTTACTTTGCTCCTCTTTCAGGTTTGGAAGGGTCTTGCGCTTTCAGATGAAAGCGAAACAAACCTGTGGTGGAGGAAATCGTATTACGCCTGTTGCGGTCATCTGTCTTCGTTTGTACGTTTTGGATCCTATGATTCTTTGTTCTCTTTCTGCAGATAATACTTGAATGCATCTTGGAAATCTTTCTCTACATGCAATAGCCAGGTATTTTTCTTTTCTGATGTGAGCTCATCATTCCATAGTTCATTGATAACGGCAATTCTGAAAATTTAGCTCTGGGAACGTCTCTCAAAAGCAACAATCTTATAGTGTGGTACGGTCTCACATACACTGGTGGAGGGGCAAAAGAAGACGTGAGATGCAGTGCACTGAGAAGCAAGGAATCAAGGTAAGGCGCTGTTTGTGAACTTCTGCTAAGCTTTTTAGACAATAATAAATATTTATGTCCAGGACAAGATCTCAAGTTAACCCTCGCATAGCAGATGAGGTGGAAAAACAGACGCAAGATGGGGAATCCGTCATGTGAAGGGATGGGAAGTCATTGATTGCAGATCGGAAAAATGTTAAATGGGCATCGCCAAATAAAAAATGTTTTGCAAGTTCCTTGAGAAGAGATAAACATCCGGGACCTTGCTGAATACGGCACACGGACGCCTTTCCCGATTATAATTTATATGAATTGAAGGGGTTCCCGAGCCATGTAAGTATTGATACGTATATAGAGGGACTGGCAGCAAGGATACGGGAGCTCAGTACAACTTCCTTAACTTTGAGGCTGCGATGCATTTGAGCAGCTGGACAAAAATCAACGCATAGCTCCACCTTATCAGGTCGAAGAACAGACAACAGAATCTCTCATGTGAAGTCATTGATTGCAGATCGGAAAATAAAAGAAAATCTGTTCGTACGTTAATCGCTTTGAAGTTTGCTTTGATCAGTTGTAGAACATAGCAAAAGTGTCATTCCCGTGAGTCTTCAAAAGTGTCATTCCCAGCGTCGTTAACAGGTTTCCTTGAAGTATAGACGAATTTTTTTCGATATATGTGGTGCAATATGTTATATGCCATATAAACTCGGTATACATTTTATTTTATGGTGTGTAGCACCAGCTTTTGTAACTTCATCAGCAACGACTTTCCTGGCAGAACAAGGCCATAGCGCAAAAAGTCTCACATGTGCAGAAGGACGCAGGGTCAGAATGTGAAAGCATGTGAGAAACGAGATGACAGAGAATCACGAGAGGCCGCTGGTAAGAAACTTTTCGTTCTCCTTCACTTGAACAAACGTAGAACGACACAAAGGACCAAAACTTAGAACAAAGACCAGAACTCTATGCATCAAAGAATCCCTAAATCTTAAGACTATTAGTTCACTTTAAATGTGGCAGGCAGTTTGCATTTTCTACAGCGGCTGCTGGTGCCTTCAGAGCAGATCGACGAGTGGTCTTGGGACGCCATTCACTTTTGATTTTAGCAGCCAACGCTTTTGACAGTCAAAGATGCTGAAGGGCGTGAGGCTACAGTGCTGAAGAGGATAAATAAAAGTTTGATTTTCTTTTCCCTGTCGTGATGACCATGATTCTGGCCGTCAGGATGGTAGTTCCGTTATCAGCAGGGCAGGCGATCAGGGACGTCAACTTTGGGCCATGGATTGGTTCTCTTCGCTCCTCAATCAGGAATTGGAGGCCCACGATCCATCTAAGTATCGGTACTGGTGACACTATAACTGTGAGATATAGTTTGGAGCTGCGGGTTACCATTTCAGACTGGGATCTACTGGCAAGGTAAGCTGTTGGTGTTGGTGTATCTCTCTCGTGGTGGGAAAGGTCGAGGACGTCAAAGTTATGGATGAATATTACCACTTAGAATACCTTTGGTACGGAGGCATGGAGTGCCAGATATGCTTAGTGTACCAACAAGGTCCAGATTCGCAACAAAAAGCACCTTTGGTATACTGAATAAGAGTGTTGATCAGGATTTAGCTTCACATCTTGTCCGCTTTTTGGAGCATCTGTACTGGAGAACAAGTGTGCTATTCAGCTGACAGCTATTCAAATTTCAGGGACGATATCTGCTCTTGAAAGCGTTTCGACTTATGCAAAGTTGACATCCAGGTTGCTCAACACCGTTTTCATCTACATTCAGCAGTGCTCTGTAAATGTATCCAATGTACGCCAAGACTGTTCGGAAACAAGCGTCAAAGCTGGCTTACAAAGTTGAGACGACAGAATTGGATGAAGAAAATGGCAAGCAGAAGCTGGACAAATTTCAATGATCGTTTACTGATGCGGTGCTTAACGAGGTGGTAGATTATAAGCTGTATAGTTTCATGGACGGGTATAGTCGTTATAATACGCTCTGGTTTTAGATATTCACATGCTTTATAAGGAGAAGTTTTTCATTCAGTTCTTCAATCAAATGCTAAGGAGCGTATGAAATATATGGCGACAGAACTTGTTATGGTTCCCTGACACGTCAGTCATCATAGCAAAGGACACTGTAGAAGATCACAGAAAAACAAAGAGGAGACATGGACGAGCTATGCACTTTGAAGTGGTCGGGATTTGCGGGGTACGCAGATACCTCGTCCAGATGGCCAGCACGGTTTATAGCACCAACAACATAAATATGCTTGCCTAGCACTTGACTGGAGATAGATAGATAGATGTCCTAGAAAAGCTGGGTTAATGGCTTGGATGAGATCCTGTTAGTGTGGCCTTTGATGTGTTAAGCGCATGGAAGTCCAGCTGTGGAAAGTATAAACGCAGTCGCATGTAGGCCTGGAATGTGAGGGAACTTCATTGCTTTCAATAATGCAGCTTGAGGTTAAATTTTTACTCTCCTGAACCTTTGCTACACAAGATGGAAATGAAAACCTTCTGATTTCTCGGACTGCTGCCAAAGAAGAGTCCGAAGGCTACTTCTAAAAGCTCTATCTTTTGTTTATACGATTGAGTTTACTGGAAATGATATTGTGACACTTTAATATAGAATAACATAATGCTCCATATAGCGTTCATCCGTTGTTAGAAAACTCAGCTTGATTGTGCCATTACAATACAGAACATACTTGTTAATGCTGTGTCAAATGAATTACGTTGTGATCCTATGTATCTTCGTCATGATCATAGATTCTAGATTAGCCATGTAATTTCAATTACCGGACAAAAACCAATTCGAAAGGGACGAGGGATTACTAAGCAATTTTCAACTCTTGAAACTGAGAAGCCTGGATGCATTGAATTGCATGTGTTCAACTTTTCAAGTGTTCAGCAATTTATTTGCAAGTTCGTGAAAGCCATTCTGATTCTTAGTGCTTGACTTTGCTTGACTCACGTGTAACAAAACTTCCGACTTTTTGTTGAAGTAAGCAGTTCTACAAAATAGAGAACGCTGACCCACTGGTGGCGCCTAAGCTGAGCGTATCAACAATGTCTGACGAATCGATACCAAGTCGCTCAGCAATGGCTGCGAGTGTACAGTAACCAACATTGGAAAAAAAAGTTCTTTGTCTGTGACGCTTCTTGGGACTTCGGCCACACTCGCAGAAAGCCAGCCAGTACAATTCCTGTAGTGTCTAGCACAAAGTGTACAGTTGTTCTGCTACCTGTGAGCAACAAGAGCTTCATCAAAATCGCAACTTTCATTGCTCAAGAATTTTCTAGATAACCAACAGCAGCGCGCAAGACGTAGCGCACCGAAGACTTAGGCGAACCATTGCCGTCGCGCAGGATCCCAATTGGCTGTTAACGGTCTACAACTCTACGGTAGTCAGCTATTATAAGCTTGAGGTCGGCCACCTGCTTCTGGTTATCAGCGAGCTGATGATGAAGCATCTCCAATGACTGCCATGCCACTGAAGTATCCACATGGCCCTCAGTGTGATAAGCGCCCGAAACCTATCAGATAAATTTTCAGAACCTCCAGCCGGATTAGCTGGGACGTTTTACCTGCATGATCTTCTTGCACATGTTTGATAACTCTTCGGCCATTTGGAGATTATCATCTTCGGCCTCCTGTAAAGCAGAAATCGTTACTTCAATGTGGATAAAGAAAACGATGATACCTTTAGTTTGCTGCGAAGTTGCTGCTCAACCTCATATCGTGGCTTCCCATTTGCGTTACGATGTTGGTCAAGTTCCTCATGGACGCGACTCAAACGTATTTCCATGTTTCGAAGCTTAGTCGAAAGCTCATCGTTTTTAGCTTTTAGCAGATTGTTTTCCTCCTGCACGATATCAACATAAGACCGACCCCTTCCGAAGAATTTAAACCTTGATCTTGGCATGATGATGAATTCTTTGCTGAAGGTTCTGTTGTCCGGATAGCTTCCGTACCTCGTTCTCTAAACCAGACTGGTGCTTTTTGAATGCATCAAGTTCTCCCTGTACCAAACACCATTGCCTGCCATTAAATAACGTTTCACGTACCTTCAGTTTTTCGTTCTCACTGTTTAGCGCTTGCTCTCGCACCCGGAGCTGCTCAGCTGCTACACGAATGGCAGCAACTTCATTCTGACGGTGGTCTATTTCGTCAAGACAACTGTTAACTGACTAAATATCAGGATCCAAATGAACAAAGAAATAGAATACAACCTATCCCGTTCTTCAATATACTCCTCAGGTTGCTTTTGCAAGAGTTGAACGCTCTGAAGCAAAACATAAAAGTTGACATTGCACGGAAAAAAACAGACCACCTACCTCATGGTTTGACGAATCTGGAAAACGATCCTCGACAAGTAGCGACTGAAAAGTAGGTAAGCACCTCACACTATGCCAAAACGCCACTCACAGCGTAATTTGTAATGTCCATTTTAACTCCAAGAAGGTCTCTGACGACATCATGTGTCATACTTTCCGCTTCTGCAAGCCTCGAGTTTAGCATGTACACCTGTCAAAGACAAAAAAAAGCCTCGCATTTAGAGAAACAAAAATGATGCATAAATACCTCTCTTTGTCGGCCGGCAGCGATAGTTTCAAGTTCGCTGATACGGTGCCTTGCTGCAGATAGCTCTTCGTCGAACTCTGAGTTCATCTGCTGCGAAAGACCTTTCCCTATGCACTTGAATGGTGAGCTCGACCCCTTTGTTTTCGTCGCTTTTGCCTGATCCAAAAACGTTTCCAACTCGTTGATCTAACATGTCCCGTTACCGATTAGAGCCAGCTATACAGAGCACGGAGGTTGACGTACCTTTTGTTGATAGTGGGATGCTTGTCTGGTGGAGGCAGTCGTTAGATCTGAAATATGCTTGTTGTACGCCTGGATCTGTAGATAAAAGATGTTACGACGTGAGATCAAGAATTCCTTTACCTGTGACTCTTTCTCGAAACAATCTTCAGAAAGCTTAGCAATTTCTTCCTTTAGCTTCAGGATTGCTTCTTCGTCTGTTTTCTTCCTGTACCAATGAAGTTGTTACAGTAACACGTCACGTTTAAAATGCAAACAAATGTCGTACGCTGCAATCATCCCGGTTCTCAGAGTGATCTCATGTCGTAGGGATTGCACTTCAGTTTCTAAATCTTCTCTCATCAACCGCTGCATTTGTGCTTCACGTTTTACTATCCCAACCTGATCAACAGAATATAGTAACACCCAAACATCATATATTCACCCACCTGATTTTCTAAAGCGTTCACGATGCTTTCCAGTTCTCCAACAGAGCGTTCTAAAACCTTTATTTCTTCGTCTTTCTCTTCTGCATGGGCCTTGCTAGCCTCCGCAACCTGAGCATCGCGATAATATCAAGAACGTTACACATTAGACAATTGTCATACCTTACGAGCCTCGACTGCCACGATTTCTCTTTCGTCAGCGAGTGACTGGGCCATGTCAAGCTGCTCGGTAACAACCAACAGGTCCGCACTTAGCCTGTCCCGCTCCTGAAGTACAGCATTCAGCTCCTCCTGTACAGAACTAACAGCCTCTGCCACCTTCTGTTCCACCAAGGAGCTCAGCTCCAAAAGCTCTAGATCCAAACTCTCAACTAAATGCGACTTTTCTTCCAACTCGTCTTGAACGTTGTTCTTTTCAAACACGAGTTCTTCAATTTTCTTAACGAGAGCGTTGTTTTCTGATGCCAAAGTCGCCTTAAGATCTCTCAGCGTATCAGCCTCGCCTTCCAGGCAGCGCAGACTACTCGATTTTTCCGAGAGCTCCCCGCGCGCACTTGCAAGAAGCCCTTGTGCTTCTGAAAGATCGTTCAACCTCAAGGACAATTCATGCTGTAGCTTCGCATTGGTTTCCAGAACGTCAGCTTTTGTCTCAGCCATGTCAGCGAATGACTCCTGAAGTAAACCCATGTCAAATTCCAAGCCCTTGATAATAGACTCTTTCTTTTCGATCTCGTTCGAAATTTTACTTTCGTAATCCGAATGTGACGCTCTGGAGTTCCGCTCTAGCACCGCAACCTGCTGCTCGAGGACGTTGTTCTTTTCCTCAAGTTCCGATTTTATAAGATTCAAGTCCACCATCTTATATTCCAATTCTTGAATACTAGACTTCCATGTGGACTTCTCTGCCAGTGTCGCGTCCTTCAAAGATTGTAACTCCTTTGTTGTCGCAGCCACTTCACTGTTCGATCGTGAAAGCTCCTCATGGACATTACGAACCACCGTTTCCAACCGGAGAATGTTGTCAGCCTTGGAATGCATCTCTTGCCGAAGCTGTAAAGTGTCATCTTGTTTCTTCCTTGCCTCCTCAACGAGCTCCTGAATAGAAAGCTCTAGCCCCTTGCACGCAGCATTTTTCCCTTCGATATCTTCCAGCAACGAGGCGACCCTGCCCTTCAACGCCCCGTTTTCTGCTTCAAGCCGCGCAATGTGGTCATCCAGCTCCTGAACCTTTATGTCCAGCTCATGCATTTCTGATACAGCCACCATACAGTCTTTCTCGTAAGCCTCGCACTTGTGCTGAGCTTTCTGAAGTTCCAAAGATTGCTCGCCAACTTTGAACTGCAACGACGAAAGCTTCTCTTGAGCATTAGCTATTGCCATTTGCAATCGCACTTTTTCAACTTCAGCTGATTCTCGGAGCATGTCCAACTCCAGATTCGCCTTGGACATGTCAGAAGCATGTGTCGCTCGGGCCTTTTCCAACGCAAGCCTTGTCGCAGCGACCTCCTTGTAGCCTTTTAAAACATTCGCGTCACTGTCCTCCCTGAGCGCGTTAACGAAGTTTCGGGCCTCTGATATGTCGATCTTAAGCGCATGCAGTGTTGACAATCCTTCATGGGAGATAGATCGAAACGCGTCATCGACCAGTAACTTGGAATCGTGCACCTGCTGCTCGAAACTGACCATCTGCTTGAGTAGTGTTGAACTCGAGTAACTACAGTCTTTCGCGAGATAATCGGTCTGAGACGTTAACACTTTCACATCCGTCAACAGCCGTTCCTTTTCGGCGCACCAAAGCTCTTCAGCCTCATGTAGTCTAGTCGAGTGTTCTTGTAGCTCGGTTCGAGTCTGTTCTAAAACACGGATATGGGTGTCATTCTTCTCCTGAAGAATAGCTATAGCTGTTTGCTGTTCCGAAATAATACTTGCACCGTCGCAAATCTTTGATCTCAGCTGCTCCTCCACGCCAACGCAATGCTTTACAACTAAAAGAGCGGCGTGTCCTCTTTTCTCGGATAGTAGCAGACTCCTCCTTAGTGAGCATATTAAACCCGCGTCTTCAGTTCGTTCTAGTTCCCGTTGTTGTTCCTGTGCCTCGGCAAGGTTGTTAATCACTATAAAGGCGACCTCCAGAAATTTGTTGAGCTTTCTCATGTTCCCTTCAAGGCAGTCTGCTCTGCATATGGCTTCTTCTGCAGTAATCCTTGTCGTCAACACCTCCTCTCTCTGTGTCTCTTGCATTTTCGACATATTTGAGGTCGCGTCAGTTAAAGCCTCCATCTTTTGCTCTGCATCTTTGACAAACTCAAAAGCCTGGTGTAGCTTTAACTGTAAAGCCTGAATAACTTTTTGCTTCTCCGCAGCAAAATGGCTTGGTGGACAATCCGGCAAGGAAGTCTGAAAAATCCGTTCCATTTCCGTTGCTGCAGCATCAAGTGTCGCGTCACCTTCAGATAGATAATCGGCTAGTCTTCTTGTAGTCTGTTGCCAGAGCTTGCAAAGCTCTTGTTCCTTGCCCAGCCTCAGTTCGTTGCAGTAATTTGCTAGCCGTGCATTTTCAAGCTGCAAGCTTTCGACCTCGTCAGATGAGAGTTTTTCGTGGTTACTAGATAGTGCGAACTTATCATTTGCCATAAGAAGGTCCCTATGCAGATTAGAAATAGTATCTGCCGTCTCAGCTTCAACTTCTGCACGCCTGACATCCATCTGTTTTTCTATAGCCAGCCTGTGTATTTTTTCTCTGAAGAAAAGCCTGTTCAACTCCTGTGCCTCGTCAAGTTCTTCCCTAATCTTCAGAACCTCCTGTTCGGTCTTAGATTTTTCTGCCTCATCGAAGCCCACAGTCTTCTCTAAGCAGCGGATTTCTTCTTTCCTTCTCAGTTCAAGCTGTAGCAACTGCACCTGGCTCCTTAACACGGGTGTACTGTCGTCACTTCCGTATTTTTGTTGTTTCAAGGGAGCAGCTTCAAGCTCGTTGATTAACACTAATTGCTGGCTTTCCATCTGCTCACGTAACTCATTTGCCTCCTGCACCAGACAACATTGCCACCTCAGTGAGCTGAGAAGTTCAGAAAAAACCTCGAGACTGGCTTCTAGAGCTTGCTTCTCCCTCATTGCCTCTTTTAACTGCAGCTCTAAGCGTGCATTGGATTCTATATCACAGGCCTTTCTCTCCTTATACTGCCAAAAGAGTTCAATTGAAGATTATCAGGAAACAGTAAAGCAAAAGAAAACGTAAAACCGTACCGCGTCCAGCTCCCGTTTGTAAAACTCAATTTCGCTGGTTCTACTCTGCAACTCCCTATTTCCCGGGAACAGATACAGGGTTCAATCAAGACAACTATAGAATACCTAATGAGCTCTCCGTTTTCCCGTTGTAAGGATTCTGATTTCTGCTTATGCTCCTCCATAACGTTCGCCTAGACACAACATTTAAAAATAAGAACTAAGAGCTTGGCTAAGCTTCCGAACCTCAGAGCGGAAATTCTCAACCTCTTCTAAAAGCCGTGAATGGCTCTGAATACCACATTCCTCCTGCAAAGGTTTGAAAAAACTAGAATTAAGTACAAGAGCGCAAACAGAAGCACCTTCAAAATCGCATTTGCTTCCAAAACCTCCATAAGCTTTAAAAAACGTAAAAACAAAAGCAAACGTTAAATCTGAGAAAAAAATAGTCTACCTGATCCCGAAGGTTCGACAACTCAGTAGTCATGGTTTCTCTTTCTCCGTTGTCATAAAATTCGTGGAACCTGAAGGCAACATTAAATAACATCAGATGACGACTTCAAAACAAACCTTTTCAGCTCTTCCATCAAGCGTATGTTTTCCATTGCAAATCGTGTAACTTCAGGGTTGTGTTCGACTCTGCTGCCAAGGACCTTTACTTCCTCTACCAAAGCTTCCCTGTCTTCCAAACAAAAAGAGCCTCCAGCAGTGGATCCATCCTCCGCAGCTTCTAGCCTTCTGATTTTGTCCTCTCTAAATCGCAAAAGCATCTTCACGCGTTGTGTATCTTCCTCCCTTTGCCTCACCTATGCAGAACATTAGGCACGATGTCATGAAGCGGTTAAATTATACCAGTCGTTTAAGGTGACTGATCTCCACCCCAAGGTTCTTAATGACTGATTCCGCCGCTGCCTCTCTTCTCAAAGAAGCAGCAAGTACTTCTTGACCCTGTAGAGAAGGCTAGATAGTAGAATGCAAACAAACAAAAAAAAAAAAAAAAAAAACGGGGGAAAGGGCAAACCAGTACCAGACTGTGTAAAAGACATGGCTCCACAGGCTGATCATTGTTTCTACAATCCTGACTCCGAAGATAGTTCACTTCATCCTGCAACACAAGACATGTTATTTGTCAAACCACCTTCAGGTTACCTTCAACTGTTGGATCTGTTGACGCAGGGAAACAACGTCCCCATAGCTGTCCTCATTAATGATAGCCTACCACAAGAATATTTGTTCAGCAAAAACGATTAAACCAAAAAGATTCTTCATCGATAGCTTACGTTGTTACGGATAAACTTGGCGCGTTGGGCGAACTTTAGAGTGCTCAAAGTCTCCAAAGAGCAGCTGAAAAACCAATACTCAACACACGTAAAACCCTTCAACTATACCTGTTAGAAGGGCTCACAGTTGCTATAATCATTGTTTTCGAGTTCCCACCCAGTGAATCCTGCAAAACGGGTTGATTGTTGCATGCACGCAACTAGAATCCTTACTTGCAAGAGGAATGTAAGTTTAGAGTCGCGGTACGGTATGTGCCGCGGCTTGCCGTTAGCAGCGTCAACAAGGACCATGATGACAAGCCTGCGAACAGGACATGTGAGGTTATAAGTGCAATCCAGTATCAACACACCCAAGTGTAGAGAGGGACTTGTTAATGTTAGCAGCCTCCTTGAGCCTATCGCCTTCCGCTCCCGAACTCTTCTGTCTAAGGAGAAATAGGATATGTTTTCTAAAGAAAAAAAATAATACCACCTTTCAGACCCTGCTAAGTCGACCAGATTTAATCGTCCAAAACGTGTGTTAATGACGGAATCATCCGACTCCCACTGCAAATGTTTTGATACTTATGTGCTGCAATCTTGAACCGAGTCCAAACCTTGCTTTCCACTACACAGGTGAAAACGCTGTGAGAACGGCTGCTCTCTCTATTCATGTTTGTAGCCGCCACTCTTCTGTTTGCAGAGCCCTGTATAGCATCCGCCATTGATAACAACCAAAGACCCAGTAAACAGTACCTGATTAAGCAGCTTCATAACATCTCCAACACTGTTGACTTCTACTTCCTTGAGGTTCTCGACATAAACGCCTTTTTTGACATCCTCCCTCAACTGAAAGCAAGAGCGTAAGACATGAACAAGCAGAAAGGCACTCCTCACTTGCAGGTTGGTGGCGGACGGCTCGAGAAGATCAGAAACTTGCTCATTGTAAATTTCCAGAAACGAGCATTTACATGCGAACTCAAGGCCTTGAGATCTGCGAGCTTCCCCTTCCTGGACAGCAATCAGCACGGGCAGTTTCCAAGAACGAGTACATACCAGTTGGATCTTTACAAAGAGGTATTCAAAAACCCGGGGTATCATTCCTCTTCCCTCGCTTTGCTCCTGATCAATATCGCCAAGCATTGTATGGGTCTTCCCACTCCCCGTCTGCCAAGGCATGCCGCTCGCATGATTACACCGTCCATGAGACCGAGGGCTACAGAACCACTGACCTGACCATAGGCAAACATGCAGTTGTTATATCCGGAGATACAGTTGTCCACCATTGGCAGCCCCGCGACTCTGAACAGCTTCTCCTGAAAAAGTTGATGCAGTCCAGAGCCACCATCAGTCAGTAGCAGAAACGCCAGCAAACCTGGTTGACGCTTTCACAGGCCACATGGTCGAAGGTAAACCTTGATTCGGGGTGCCCGATCCACGTAAGGCTGTGAGCAGTATCCTGACGCAGACATCTGCCGGGGCCTTGAAGCGAAACCTCTAGCGGGCTGGGAGGCCTTATACGGATGAGCACCTGGCCAGAGATACAAACAGTAAGATGCAGAGCGTGCGTGGACTCTCGCGAGCATACCTGAACATTATGGTCTTGCCAAAAGGAGACGTCCTCCTCGAGCTCAAAGTGTGCCGGTGCCAAAACTTCCCCGTGCTGTCCCTGACAGAATCCCAGAGACTTTACGACCGGCCCCGGCACTGCTCCGGCAGCACGCAGCCCCGCGTCCTGGTTATACTTGAGCGTCCTGGACACGCTCTTCTTGGGCGTCCCAGTCCCGGCATGGCCAGAGTTACTCCCGGGCTCGGAATGCATGGTCACATACTTGTTGTCGATCTTGCAAGCCCGAGGGGTGCTGAACTGGCTTCCTCCGCCGTGCTTGCTCGCCGCCTGGACGCTGCTGTAAGCCTGGTGGCGGGGGCCGCGCGAGGACGGGGTACCAAACGGCTGCTGCTGCTGCTGCTCGCTGGCGTCAGATCGCGCATCGTCGTCACGGGGCTGGAGCTGCTGCTTCTTGACGATCGCCTGCTGCTGGATCCACTGGAGCTTGAGCGTGGGATTGAAGGCACGCCTGTCCGCAACGCCATCGGAAGCCACATTCTTCTCCTTCTCCGAGAGCGGATTGGAGGCTGTGTGTGCCCTGTTGCAAGGAGTAGACGAATCGAATCCAGAGATCTCACCGAAGGGAACACGACCAGCGCTCTCGTTCTCCGCAGACTCGGCGCATTGCCCCCCTTTGCTGCCACCGGGCAAGCTCCCGAAAATCCGCAGTGGCGACAGCCTCGGCATTCCTCAAGCTTGAATCTGCTGCCACATTCCCTCCCTGCTCTGCCACAAACCCTAGCCTAGGCGAGGGAGCCTTGGGGCTTTTCTTTTCCCTCCAAAGCCAAATAAAAAAATCAAAGAGCCCTAAGAAAACGAGAAGAGCATCCTACGGCGGAATTTGAACCCAATCTAGCACATCTAACGGCTTTCCGCAGGCTTCACTGGTGATTGGGACACGTAGAATTTCTATTAGCAAGCAAGTAGATAGATTCTGGCACCAAAGATGAAAGTGGGAAGCAATCCTGTGTTAAACTGCGACGCTACTGCCACGTGGTCGCATGACGTGGACAAATCAGTTTATTTTGTGGTCTCGCCTCGCCCTAGGCGCTGCGCGAGGCAGCGGTAGCATGGGTGGGAGCTTGGTGGGTTGCACCAAGCAATGTTTTGCCTTGCGCACGCTAGCGCCGCCACAGGGGAGCTTGTAAAAGGCAGCATGGATCGGTCGCTCAAGGCTGGCTCGGCCGAGTTTAGAGGCATCAAGGTGGAGGTGTGGCAGCAGCAGGGCGCGTGCTTGGAATGCAGCATAAACTCGGCCCTCGTGGACAAGGTGTTTGCGTCCATCCGGGTGGAGGAGAAAGGGATGGACAGTTTTGGCTTGTGGCCCGAGTTTAGGCCCCAGGGCCACGCCACAAAGCTGGTGTTCAAGTGGCTTCCCCTGGAATCCCAGGCGCTCGCAAACGGGCACGTCTCGTCCTCTGAGCCAGCCAGGCCCGACGCCCCAACCGGCCCATCAGGGAAGAGGCACGAGGAGCTCAAGAACTTTCTGTGTGGGGGTTTTGCTGGGGTTGTGTCCCGGACGGCCGTGGCTCCGCTGGACCTTATCAAGGTAAGGTTTTAAACTCTCCACCTCTGGTTGCGTCGCATCCTTCTCACGCCTGCTCCTTTTCCGTAGACACATCTCATCACTTCGCATGGCGTGCATGGCTACCACAAGAGTGCCACCGACATCTTCTGCGAGATCCGGGAGAGAGACGGCTGGCTGGGCCTTTTTCGAGGTAAGCACAAGCACACACGACCCTCCAGAGCTAACTCCCCTGCAGGAAACGGGGTCAACTGTATAAGGGTGGCGCCCTGCAAGGCCATTGAGCTTTGCACGTTTGAGGTTGTTAAAAAGATGTTGAGCAGCCAAGGCAACCCATTCTGCGGGGTGGCTGCTCCGGTTGCTGGCGGTGCTGCGGGGATGGCTGGCACCCTGGCCACGTACCCGCTGGAGCTGATCAGGACCCGCATTTCGCTGCAGGCATGGTCACCTTTTCTGTGCGGGTCTGCCCTTCTCTGTCAGTGGCTCACCCTCGTTTCGGATCCTCCTGCAGCCCCACAAGTACACCGGTGCACTCCAGTCTATCGTGACGGTGGTGAATGAGGAGGTAGCTACTTCCTTCGCTGCTGCTTTTGCTTGTGATCCAACTCGATTCTCTCGCTAGGGCTTTTCTGCTCTCTACGCCGGTCTTACGCCTAGCATTCTTGGAGTGTTCCCCTATGCTGCCACAAACTACTTCGTCTACGACGGGCTCCGGAGTGCTTATCACCGTGCAACCGGAAAAAGGCACGTCCCGACGGGTTTAACACTTCTATTTGGTGCTGTTGCTGCTGCGGCTTCCAGCGCCGTTACTTACCCTCTGGAGGTAAAAAGATTTCTTTCTTCCCTGAGACCAAACGCTGTTTTGCCAAAGGTGGCGCGGAGACAAATGCAGCTGGGTTCTGTTGCACTTGTGGCGAGGAACAGTACGCTGGACGTTGTAAGGCAGATCTATGCCGACGAGGGGTTCCTTGCTTTATACAGAGGACTTGGGACCACCTGGCTGAAGCTGGTTCCAGCCGCTGGTATCTCCTTCGTCTGCTACGAGGCTGCACGGAGAGCATGGGAGCTTGAGGAACAGCGGGTGATTCAACGTAGGCGGAGGAAGTAACGGTGGTAAATGCGGGAGGACGATACCCGGACGTTGAGAAGGTGACGAGGATCACTGGGTGAGCGGTGAGTGCTTAGTAGCTAGTTGCATGTTCTTGGCTTGAAAGGGATATAAAATTCTTTTACCACTCCTGCCGGAATGTTACAGGTGGTGGCTGTGTGCAAATCCAAAGTCGCTTAACTGGCCAAATTGTTTTCAAAGTTCTTCGCATGTTTGTGAGTAGCATCATTTTCTAATCTGCTACCCTTTGTTAGGACAGAATACTTTTCTTCAACATTCCTGACATTGTCGTCCATTCATTTGTGCCAGGAACAAGAATGCGAAATCAGAGGAAGCACTTAAGCTTTTAATGCACCAAAAGAATGTCAATAGACTAGTTGTCTGTATCGCTCGGCAAATGTTGGGCACTAGACTTTGTACTGGATATACAGTGTTAAATGTCTGGTGTGTTTTGAACTTTGATTTTTAAACTATGTGGTAACAGTGGCAAATTTGCATTGCTTGCTTTTGGAGTAAGTTTTCTGGTTTTCCGTCTAATATCGGTGAAAGGAGGGGTTATCGGTGAAAGGAGGGGTTCAAGAACCGCACTTCAAGATGCTGTGATTTTTATCTACTTTTGTTGACAATATGCAAAAGGAGAAAACTAATGTATGAATCATGAACCAAAAAACTCCACCTTGAAGATTTGTTTTTTAAAAAAGAACTATTTAATTGATCATAAAATATGAACTCTTTTATTAATATAAATAAAGTTCTTGACTACAAAGATTAACTCTATTACAATGATAAAAAAAATTAAAAGTTAATTAAATAACAGAGAAAAACAGGTAAATTAGAAGCTGAGTAAGATTAGAGTCACTTAATAAAAAACATCAATTCATTGGGATAGACAGAAGTACTAATGTGATAGGATATTAATGTCAAATTTACAAATAAATCTTTATATTTTGTATATTTCACACTTGTTACTTGTAATATATTATTACTTCAAATATCTGGAAATTAAACAAAAGAAAGTTGCTCACTTTGTGCTTATTTCTTAAGCCTTTTGTTGGGAGTTCCACTCCTGCTCTTAACATTTCAAGTCGAGGCTTTTAGTCTAAATGTATTACACTCATTTGACTTTCGCTTTGGCCATTACCACATGGCACCCTTTCGGCTCCTCTTTGGGGTATAAGGATTTGTGTCTCACACCACGGCCCAACTTTATGACTCTCTCATAGGTCTTTTTTAAATATTACTTTCTTGAACTCACTATATTGACATAGCTCATTTCCCTTAGGTATCCTTCTGTAAGCTCTTGAATTTAGACTTTCCAGAAAGTCACCCAGCCCAGTACTATTCAAACCCAAAGACACTTAACCATAAGTATCCTAAGACCCTTAACCAATTAGAAAAGGGGGTGCACTTTTATTCATGGCCCTTTTCCCTTTATATTTAAACCCTTATGGATCGTCTCTCGAATCGTTCCCTTTGGTTGTTTATAATCCACCACGCTTCTCTGCAAGTTCACGCCCTTGTGAACGGAAGCTAAAAGCTGCAACTCTCTCAAGAGCCTTGCTCTTTTGACACCCTACCCCTTGAGTCAAACTCAGCTAGAGCATACTAGACCCTTACCAAATGTCAATTAGCATGTGGTGTGATTCCCCTAGCCAATCAATAGAGTCGGACCCGAGACCCCTCTGATATCAAATGTAAACTCTTGAATTTAAACTTCTTGGGAAGTCACTCAACCCAGTACTATTCAAATCTAAGGACACTTAACCCTAAGTATCCAAAAACTTTTAACCGATTAGAAAAGGGGGTGCATTCTTGTTCATGGGCCCTTTCCCTCTATATTTGAACCCCTATGAATTGTCTTTTGAGTCGTTCCCTTTGGTTGTTTACACTTTCTCACTCGGTCACCTCAACCAAATCACACAATTACCAATAATTCAAATTAACATTTTGAACCAAGAACTTTGTTCCTTAATCTAGTAAGGACCTTGTCCTTGTTTATCCATAAAATCACCTAATGATCTCACCTTGATACCTTAGTAGATCAATAGGTACTAGGTCTTTCAAACTTTTAAGTTGTTAATTATGACTCTGGGGGCATCACCCACACTTGGTGGTGCGCCTAAGCTAACCCTTCCAACCAAGGGTCCATAACAATTGAGATTGGGTGTCCCTATCTTACCCATCATGTCTTTAATGCCATATGCAATAAAGTGGTCAAGTTAGATATATCGAGCTTTCACACTAAACATTTTAATCGTGCATCAGGACTTCGAGAAATCCCTTGCTTGGCAGTGTGCCCAAGTTAGTCTCCTTACTGAGAGTCTATGACCACTGAAAAAATGAATGTTCTCATATTCCAAACCATCACCACACCCTAATGAGTTTGGGACTCGAACTCAAGCATTAAAGAGTTAGGATTCGAACCCAGCCTCTGTTTGAAGTTGTTTGAAGTCAAGGAAGCACAAGAAGGTCTCCTGACTAGCACGGAGAAGGCCCAAGGGGAGATCCCAAGCTCTAGAATAAATGGATCAAACAAGGAGTTGAAGCAAATTAGAAGGTGGACAACACACTTGTGTTTTGGAAATTACCGGTACATAAGAAAGTTAAGGCCACCTCTTGGTTGGTGGCAAATAACGGGCTGCAAATAGGACAGTAGTTTTAGGAGGAAGCATGCCGACAATGTAAGGAATGTGGCGAGCTAGAGACAACACGACACGCATTATGGGAATGTGACGTGGCAAGAGAGGTATGGCTACAAATCTTCAAAGCAACATAGGAATTAAGAGACATTCCAGAGTTTGAGGCTCAAAGCGGGGATATCCTCCACTTGTTTGAGAGAGCTAGAGGTCCAGCCATTGGTCCCACTTGGAGGCATATTCACTATCACGGATGACATAGATGGAACATGTGAATCTGGTGGGATGCAACAGAGGCTAAAGTTGGGATGTCAATCTGGGAGGCAATAGGCCATAAGTATTGGTCCGTCTAAAGAGGGACAAAAGTGCAAGCATTTTGGGAGGCATAGAACCATTGTCACTTCGATGGGCAACAAGTGAGGATATCGGCAGTGGTGGCATCATAATGGAGTCTCACTCTTGTAGTAGTGCATCTTCATTATGCCATCCTGAAAGAGCAGGTGAAACCAAGACAGCTA